AAACGACAGTGGTACCCCTTACGTTTTTTTTTTTCGGGCGAAAAATTAAGTTTCTCCAATCTTCCCAAACTCTGGATTCTGATAGAGGGCCATGAGACTTAGACCTGAGTGCAAAAATGGAGGCTCTAGCCCCTTCCAGAGCTGAGATATCGAAACTCAAAAATTCGGCCCGAAAAAAAAAACGACAGTGGTACCCCTTACGTTTTTTTTTTTTCGGCGAAAAATTAAGTTTTCTCCAATCTTCCAAACTCTGGATTCTGATAGAGGGCCATGAGACTTAGACCTGAGTGCAAAAATGGAGGCTCTAGCCCCTTCCAGAGCTGAGATATCGAAACTCAAAAATTCGGCCCGAAAAAAAAAAACGACAGTGGTACCCCTTACGTTTTTTTTTTTGGGCGAAAAATTAAGTTTCTCCAATCTTCCCAAAACTCTGGATTCTGATAGAGGGCCATGAGACTTAGACCTGAGTGCAAAAATGGAGGCTCTAGCCCCTTCCAGAGCTGAGATATCGAAACTCAAAAATTCGGCCGAAAAAAAAAAACGACAGTGGTACCCCTTACGTTTTTTTTTTTTTGGCGAAAAATTAAGTTTCTCCAATCTTCCAAAACTCTGGATTCTGATAGAGGGCCATGAGACTTAGACCTGAGTGCAAAAATGGAGGCTCTAGCCCCTTCCAGAGCTGAGATATCGAAACTCAAAATTCGGCCCGAAAAAAAAACGACAGTGGTACCCCTTACGTTTTTTTTTTTGGGGCGAAAAATTAAGTTTAAGTTTCTCCATCTTCCAACTGGATTCTGATAGAGGGCCATGAGACTTAGACCTGAGTGCAAAAATGGAGGCTCTAGCCCCTTCCAGAGCTGAGATATCGAAACTCAAAAATTCGCCCGAAAAAAAAACGACAGTGGTACCCCTTACGTTTTTTTTTTTTCGGGCGAAAAATTAAGTTTCTCCAATCTTCCAAAACTCTGGATTCTGATAGAGGGCCATGAGACTTAGACCTGAGTGCAAAAATGGAGGCTCTAGCCCCTTCCAGAGCTGAGATATCGAAACTCAAAAATTCGGCCCGAAAAAAAAAACGACAGTGGTACCCCTTACGTTTTTTTTTTCGGGCGAAAAATTAAGTTTCTCCAATCTTCCCAAAACTCTGGATTCTGATAGAGGCCATGAGACTTAGACCTGAGTGCAAAAATGGAGGCTCTAGCCCCTTCCAGAGCTGAGATATCGAAACTCAAAAATTCGGCCCGAAAAAAAAAACGACAGTGGTACCCCTTACGTTTTTTTTTTTCGGGGCGAAAAATTAAGTTTCTCCAATCTTCCCAAAACTCTGGATTCTGATAGAGGGCCATGAGACTTAGACCTGAGTGCAAAAATGGAGGCTCTAGCCCTTCCAGAGCTGAGATATCGAAACTCAAAAATTCGGCCCGAAAAAAAAAAACGACAGTGGTACCCTTACGTTTTTTTTTTGGGCGAAAAATTAAGTTTCTCCAATCTTCCCAAAACTCTGGATTCTGATAGAGGGCCATGAGACTTAGACCTGAGTGCAAAAATGGAGGCTCTAGCCCCTTCCAGAGCTGAGATATCGAAACTCAAAAATTCGGCCCGAAAAAAAAACGACAGTGGTACCCCTTACGTTTTTTTTTTTTGGGCGAAAAATTAAGTTTCTCCAATCTTCCCAAAACTCTGGATTCTGATAGAGGGCCATGAGACTTAGACCTGAGTGCAAAAATGGAGGCTCTAGCCCCTTCCAGAGCTGAGATATCGAAACTCAAAAATTCGGCCCGAAAAAAAAACGACAGTGGTACCCCTTACGTTTTTTTTTTTCGGGCGAAAAATTAAGTTTCTCCAATCTTCCAAAACTCTGGATTCTGATAGAGGGCCATGAGACTTAGACCTGAGTGCAAAAATGGAGGCTCTAGCCCCTTCCAGAGCTGAGATATCGAAACTCAAAATTTTCGGCCCGAAAAAAAAAAACGACAGTGGTACCCCTTACGTTTTTTTTTTTGGCGAAAAATTAAGTTTCTCCAATCTTCTCAAAACTCTGGATTCTGATAGAGGGCCATGAGACTTAGACCTGAGTGCAAAAATGGAGGCTCTAGCCCCTTCCAGAGCTGAGATATCGAAACTCAAAAATTCGGCCCGAAAAAAAAAACGACAGTGGTACCCCTTACGTTTTTTTTTTCGGGCGAAAAATTAAGTTTCTCCAATCTTCCCAAAACTCTGGATTCTGATAGAGGGCCATGAGACTTAGACCTGAGTGCAAAAATGGAGGCTCTAGCCCCTTCCAGAGCTGAGATATCGAAACTCAAAAATTCGGCCCGAAAAAAAAAAGACAAGTGTACCCCTTACGTTTTTTTTTTTTTCGGCGAAAAATTAAGTTTCTCCAATCTTCCCAAAACTCTGGATTCTGATAGAGGGCCATGAGACTTAGACCTGAGTGCAAAAATGGAGGCTCTAGCCCCTTCCAGAGCTGAGATATCGAAACTCAAAAATTCGGCCCGAAAAAAAACGACAGTGGTACCCCTTACGTTTTTTTTTTTTGGGCGAAAAATTAAGTTTCTCCAATCTTCCAAACTCTGGATTCTGATAGAGGGCCATGAGACTTAGACCTGAGTGCAAAATGGAGGCTCTAGCCCTTCCAGAGCTGAGATATCGAAACTCAAAATTCGGCCCGAAAAAAAAACGACAGTGGTACCCCTTACGTTTTTTTTTTTTTGGGCGAAAAATTAAGTTTCTCCAATCTTCCAAAACTCTGGATTCTGATAGAGGGCCATGAGACTTAGACCTGAGTGCAAAAATGGAGGCTCTAGCCCTTCCAGAGCTGAGATATCGAAACTCAAAAATTCGGCCCGAAAAAAAAACGACAGTGGTACCCCTTACGTTTTTTTTTTCGGGCGAAAAATTAAGTTTCTCCAATCTTCCCAAAACTCTGGATTCTGATAGAGGGCCATGAGACTTAGACCTGAGTGCAAAAATGGAGGCTCTAGCCCCTTCCAGAGCTGAGATATGGAAACTCAAAAATTCGGCCCGAAAAAAAAAACGACAGTGGTACCCCTTACGTTTTTTTTTTCGGCGAAAAATAAAGTTTCTCCAATCTTCCCAAAACTCTGGATTCTGATAGAGGGCCATGAGACTTAGACTTGAGTGCAAAAATGGAGGCTCTAGCCCCTTCCAGAGCTGAGATATCAAAGCTCAAAAATTCGGCCCGAAAAAAAAAACGACAGTGGTACCCCTTACGTTTTTTTTTTCGGCGAAAAATTAATTCTCCAATCTTTCCAAAACTCTGGATTCTGATAGAGGGCCATGAGACTTAGACCTGAGTGCAAAAATGGAGGCTCTAGACCCTTCCAGGGCTGAGATATGGACATCCCATGCAGCATTTATGCCATTATAAAAATAGTGGGTTTGTGGACGGTGGAATTATGGGATGGCGCTTGGTACCACAGACTCAGGGGGCCCCCCTGAGTGCAGTAAAATAGTTTTTATCATGACAGGAACTTTAATTAAAATGTCTATCAAAAACACTACCCGATTCCCCATTCAATAGATTGCCGATGGGACCGCGTCCAATTGCAGCATATTGAATGAACTGCGGAAAAACTTTAAAAAATATAGTGGGTTATTGGACAAATAGTGGGCTTGTGGGAAGGGGGCGTAACCCAGTAGTGGTCCCGGGACATTTGGTAAATATAGTGGGTTATTGGACAAATAGTGGGTTCGTGGGACGGGATTATATATATATTTTTTTCATTTGTTTTAATTTATAGAAACCTCATGAGCTGGTAAAATGTACTTTTCTATTTTTCAGAAACTTGAAACATAATTCAGGTCTGAGGGGGTTAAGTAGCCTTTAAAAATGTGCCTTAGAAAAACTGAAAGACTTAGACAATGACATATTTTAAGTCATGTTGCTTTCAGTTAAAACAGCTCAAACATGCATTTCAGTCTGCAAGCCTTTTCTATGAAACCGGGAGTAGCTATAACTGGATCATTGCTGTGATTATATTTCTAGCATGTTGATTGATCTTCTAACACTAATTTATGGAGCGTGCAGCTTTTCATTTATTAAACATTTATGTAGAAAAACACATCATGGCCATATTCCTGGATGACAATCTCAAGATTCATCAGGCTCAAAGTGTGAAATAATGGTTGTGAAGAGCATGAAGAATCATTTTCACACATGAGTCCAGTCCTTACATCCATTGCTAGTCTTTGGGATGAGCTGGAGACTTTATGTAGTGCTGAACTCTTGCATTGATGGAAATAATTGTGATGTTATAGTTTTGTTTGTTTGTTTTTTTTGGTTAAGATGGTGCAACTGTCTTGTTGAATTAACTTTAATTACGTAAGGTGATGGTGTCTCTGCAACATATGATCTGAAACGTTACTTTAGCACTCGTTCTATTTTGAACCAAATGTTGCAAAACGTTTGGATTCATGCCGAATGAGAGAAGTCGACAATGAGCTCATAAAGTAGAGTTAAGCCATATTTCGTCTTCCTATAATGTTTTGTGATTTTCCACAAATTTAACAATAGCCTATTGTTATGATCCTTCTTTGACTCAAAACCGTCTTGGATTGCTTTATCTTGGATTTAGTATCTTTGTGGTGAAATAATTTAACTTGGCTTACGTCCAAAAGTTCATTGCAATTTCTATTTCTTTCCATTTTCAAGGTCTTTGCAGCCTATTTTTTTAAATTTGTTAAAATTGTCATCATTTCTACATGTATTCTGCATAACCTGCAAACTTTTTTGGTCTGATCTGATGTTGTATGACAGTTTGTCTAAAATGTGCGTGTTTAACATTTAGAGAACCGCAAATTAGTCATCGATTTCGGCACGCCAGCTTTTATCAGTTTAAGAGTTGTGTAGATCTGCACTGTTGACTCGAGAACTGATTGAATTAGTTATGTTTTTAGTTTTTTTTTGTTTTTCATTCAGGCAATTATTTTGGCAGAAAAGTATGGCTTAGTTATTTCAAATACAAAACAGCAGCAAATTAAGGATTTACATTTATTTATTTACATTTTTTTGCAATATGTTGGATTGTACATTTTGGGACAAAGAGTTTTTGTACATTAGTGTAACCATTACAATAAATAATTGTAGATTACCTGCCTGATTACATTACTGTAAACACAGGAAAATAATAATCAGCATGTGAAGACTTAATATACTTTAAAACTTTTTCAGACTTTCTAACAACTTTTTTCCAACAACAACCAGTTTCACCAGAGAGTGCCGAAGTGATGTTGGTCCATTAAGTGTTTTTCATTAAGGCTCATATAAGATTGACTGGGATTAATAAATCTACATTGTATATTATTGAACTATTGAAGAAAGACTTCAATAGCATTCTCTCAACATTTATTTTTATCTGACTGCACTCCCACACATATAAAAATTCAGACAATTACAAATGGATTTGTGAGTTTTTACAAACTGGTTTGTAACTAGTAAACATAAGAAATATATTTTCATAGATTTACGTTTGGCACAGCCAACTCAGTGTTTGCTACATACAGTACCCTGAGACATTATTAAAATAAAAAGACAAACATAAGCAGATGCATTGGTGCATCATCAATCAATCAATCAATAGTAAAAAGTACCTGAAACATGAATCCTGATCACCGATGCAACAACCACATAAACATTTACAAAGCATGTTTAACTCTCACATATTTAACAAATAAATACTCAGATGAATGAATTCACATTTTTTCGAACACGCCACAAGAGCTGTACCGAAATGTTGCTGTTTATGAAACAAACACACAAAAGCATTACCTTTGAAATGATCCGACAACCAATATAAAACGATCCAAGCATTATTTGCAACCAAATGCAACACATTTGGAAGTCTTCAGTCTGATTGAGTTGGGTATTATTCAGGAGAAATCACTGTGTCTGTGAAAGAGCAGAATCAGGTGTGGACAGATTCTCCATTTCATGAGTCTCTGCTGAGTCCTGTGTTTAAAACAAGATATTGTTATTCAGCAACTACCAGTGGTGGAATGTAACGAAGTACAAATACTTCGTTACTTTACTTAAGTACATTTTTCACGCATCTTTACTTTACTTAAGTACAATAAATAGTGCCTACTTTTTACTTTTACTTCGTTACATTTTGCAGCAATTATTATACTTTGTACTCCACTACATTTCTACAACTTCTGTTACATTTTCGTTACATTTTCTGATCAGTTTTTCCCCTGCCAAAACGTAATCTGACGTAATCATTCGTTGCACGTTTGTCTCACCAGTGACGTTTGGTTGCCATAGATACAGTATATCAACTAAATGCGTCTCGCACGCAGTGTGTTTATCATGCAACTCATACGCGAAAATTAGTTTTTACGTGCATAGGAAACACACCGTGTGTAATATATGTTTCGTTTGGTTAGGATTATGGCAAGCCAAGAGGTTCAGAATTACACCATGAATTAATCTCGTTTACTGCCAAACATAGTTATTAAGAGTATAGAAGAACAAGAGGCGAAACTCTGATGCTTTTTTGGTAACGGCCACTAGATGGCGCTTCGGTAGCGCGGCAGCCATATCGGGGTGAAAATTCCAACTGGAGTTACTGGACACCAGCTCAGATAACAGTTTGAGGTAGTTTTTTCTTGCATTAGTGAGTATTTCCATTGTATGCAACTTTACACTTTTACTACTATTATTAGTTACCAACTCCACTAGGCCTGAAATATATTTTGGACGTTTTAATCCCCTGGATCATGCTACAAACATGATGATCATTGATGCGCTGTGTCCGTTATCTTAACTAATTGCAACTTTGGACATTGGCTGTGTTTTTTTGTTTGTTTACATGGTCTTGCGTCATTAATATAAGATAGGCTAGTACTGCAAAAAAAAAAAAAAAACTGTTTACTGTAAAGCTATTCTATTACTGTTATATATTTATTGTCAAACATTTACATTTTAGTACAACATTTATTTGCTGAATTTATTTCATTGATAACTTATTTTTGTAAGTAACGTTATGTGTACCTCCCGGGAAACGGTCTATGTTATTATAACTTTATGAACTGATATCACTTTATTCTTACCCATCACACTTAATGTGGAGAGTAATATAATGAATTAAATCCTCAAACTTCCCTGTCTCAAGTTATGAGGGGGTAAAAGCCCGGTTAAGTAGCAAGTAGCAAGTTTCATTAGAAAATAGACATTAAGATAATAAACTGTTATGCAAGTACTTTTACTTTTAATACTTAAAGTACATTTAAAATAAAGTACTTTTTACTTTTTACTTAAGTATGGTTGTCATTGTGTTACTTCTACTTTTACTAAAGTAAATATTTATCCGGGTATTTGTACTTTTACTTAAGTACTGAGATTCAGTACTTCCTCCACCACTGGCAACTACACATCTGAACTCTGAGAAGATGTCAAACCTTGCAGATTTCACACATAATTATTGTATTACCCTGAGCTGACGGCTGTGTCTTTGATGTGTGTTCCCTCGATTGTGTGTAAATCTGTGTTAGAAAACACAATTACAGATTTAACATTGATATATGCAGTTGAATGTACTGTATACACACACAGGCCTACATGAGAGCTGTATTGAATAAAATCTGAACTTACTTAGTTGTAAAAACCTTCCCTGTGTGACAGGAGACATTAGAGAGAAAGAGTTGTTTAAATGTTACTAATTAATGGAAACGCAGAATCACAGTGTAAATCAGTCTCTGTAAGGAGTATGTGAGTGTTAGTCTCATTTTACCAGCGCTGAACTTCAATAACCGTTTGAATCTGTTACAAATCAGCATTATAGAAACTGGCAAATAAACCAGTGACCCATCGGACCCACTCCTGTTCACTGTCATATTAGGCTTCAGTCAAATATATAATACACTTGATTCTGTGACGAACGAACAGTTTGGGGTTATGAGCCATTACGTAGGCTACTTTTGATGACTGTAGCGCCACCATCAGGCCGATCGGAGCGAGTCTTGGTGACGCTGACGCTGTGAGAACCGCCATCCCTCAAAGTATCAAAGTTTCTGCCTGATCACTTTATGAGAGAATGCTGATCATGGGAAATTTAGGCACTTGAACCCCTAATAACAATAATAAAATAATAAATAAAGATACTTACAGTCAGCGTGCATTAGTAAAATCAGCCAATACAAGGCAAAGACACATTCGGAAGGGAAGACGATGAGTCTCAGATCCTTCAAGACGCGCTCACCGTTACCTTTAAAATGATAGAATAACATTAGTGAAAGGAAGATGAACTGGACATCTGAAAGAAACACGTGAAGCAGATTTTAGTAGTTTTTTCTTTTTTGTTTGTGTAATTAGATAAAACTGTGAAATGTTAAAAGATTTGTATAATATAAAGAATTGTATATATATTTTAGATATGTACTTACGTGCTTTGAGGATCAGTTCTGCTGCCAGTGTAACAGAGTTCAACAACACAAGACCAACTGCTCCAAACATGTACATGATGAAATTACAGAGATCCACTACACACACACACACACACACACACACACACACACAATCAAATATTGCATTAATTAAACTGATTTCTTGTCAATGCAATATTAAAGAGCACAAATATAATACCGTAAAAAAAGACGACGATACCGTTTCTATATAAACTTTATTGTATTTATGCTAATTGGGATTATTTAATTTTAATTAGGATTCATTAAGATAGTGAGTAATTACATGTATTTGATCGTTGTTGGTTTGTCTCAGTCTGTTGTCGTCTCTGGTTTCCTGAATGTTCTGCCTCTGTGTTAAAACAAAACTGAAAACTGATTCAAAGCCAAAAGGATGAGAAGAGATCAGTCAATCAATCAATCAATCAATTAATCAATTAATCAATCAATCAATCAATCAATCAATCAATGCATCAAACGGTCAATAAATCAACCAACCAACCAAACAATCAATCAATGTATCAATGTATAAATCAATGTATCAAACGGTCAAACAATCAATCAATGTATCAATCAATAGATCAATCAATCAATGTATTAATGAATCAATGCATCAATCAATCAATCAGTCAATCAAAGGTCTAGTAAAGGGAGAGAATATTGCACCCAGTGTTGGGCAGGTATTGATTATTCAGAATGAATAATGTTTTCATTTCAAAACATCAAGCACTTAAAATACATTTAAATATTAAAATACTCATAATCAGAATACACAATGGCAGTAAATTATTCACTGATTGATTCTCCCAAATTATTCTTTTTTTTCTCTGTAGTTTGTTTCTAAAATAGTCTGTTGCTTACAGTATATGTTCAATAAATGCACAGAACATGGAGATTTGCAGCCTTATGTACTAAACTGTTTTACATTGTTTCACATGACATTGATCTACATTCCAGACCCCATAATGATGCGCAACTACTTTGCAAATCGGTTAAAAAGAGCCCAAAACTGACCCGTCACATTGACATTGGCGTTAATTTTCAGCACATTTGGCAGTGAGTGATTACAGCCTCGGGTCTTTTGGAATATAATAAGATAAGCTTTGCACACATGGATTTCTGTAAAGCTTTTCATTAGTAAATCTTGTTTCTCAGTCTAAGAGTCCTTTGGGTGTCGTTTTACAAATTTCATGCAGGCTTTCATGTGTTATTCACTGTTTCTTTAAAACCACTTTTGCCATTAAGCTCAGATCAATGAATGTTGTAGGATATGGTTGGTTTCTGGATCTCAGTTAAAGGGATAGTTCACTTTGAAATTAATTTTTGGTATGTTTTATCTTACCTCAAGGACATCCAAGATGTAGGTGTCTTTGTTTCCGCAGTATTTTCAATTTTGATATTTTTAGGTCAAACCGTTCTTGTCTGTCAGTCATATAATGGAGGTGTATGGTCACCACCTCAAAGAGCATGCACAGAGAAGTCCAAATTAAACATGATTTAATGACTCGTAAATGTAAGTACACATTGATGGCCTAAGACACGAAACGAGCGGTTTGTGTGAGAAAACGAACAGTATTTATATCGTTTTTACCTCTTGTAACCACAGTGATCGTCCAAGTGATCTGAATCAGTTATTCAATGTTATCCATGTTTAATTTGGACTTCTCTGTGCATGCTCTTTGAGGTGGTGACCATAGACCTCCATTATATGACTGACAGACAAGAACGGTTTGACCTAAAAATATCAAAATTGAAAATACTGCGGAAACAAAGACACCTACATCTTGGATGCCCTTGAGGTACGATAAAACATACCAAAAATGTATTTCAAAGTCAACTATCCCTTTGAAGGAATACAAATTTATTAAATGTTTCATAAAGGTTTAACAGTATTTTCAACTGTAAAATGTATACAGTGTTTACCATTTTGAGGCCAATAAGATTAAGCCAAGCATTCCAGGTGTCACACATTAGCTTTTGTCTTTATGCGCTTCCTGGCCATTGAGTTCAAGATTCAGCTTTGCTTTTGTAATGGTAAAAGTGTGACCACGCTGGTCAGACTGATTAGATTAGCGTCTCTGGTAATCTGCTGAATCATTTACATTTGCTTTGTTTCAAGAGACTCCTCCTCAATATAACTCCTCCAGATTAGCATCTCAGGGCACAGAAAACTGCTATGCTGATGAACTGAGGTGCCTGTTGAATCATATACATTTACTTTTGTTTCAGTTTCTCCCCCCTCAATGTAAACTCCTCCCCTCTAAATGTATAAATTGTAAGGGAATATTCTCCCTTAGTTAGACTATCTTTGAGATGACTACAGCTACGCAATAAAGAACGTCTGCGTGAAAGATACCTCAAGAGTCTCCTGGTCTGTTGCGTGGAAGAAGAAAAACTTCACTACACCTTTAATGCTTTAATTAGCAAATTTGCATATGTAAACCATAAACATCACAGTAATGTCATTTCTACTTCTTAGCACTATAATTTTATGTTTTTTTTTATAAATAAAGTGTGGGGTAATAAAGGACACTATATTGTAAGTCAGTGATGGATGGTACCTGTCACACAGTATTCAAAGATCACCATCATCTTCAGGACTTCCAGAAATAACATGATGCAGATCCATCCCAAGTAATCTGATGATTAAACAAAAGCATTTCTGATCAGCACATCTCTTACAAAACGCTGTTTAGTGAATTATAAATGTAAACCTTTATTTGTCCTTGCATTAAATATTGGTCTTTGCATAAAAGCACAAGTCTACTAACAAAACTACTTTAAGAAAGTGTATTTTTTTTCTAGATGAAAAAATAAAATGACTATGAAATGGGTCTATGAAAGCACTATATTTAGTTAATATAAACACTGTTCATTGCTATAGATCATGTCAGTTCACAGTGAATAATGTTACAACCTTTGATTTTAATAAAGTATTGGTAGATGTTAAAATTCATATGAACTCAAATGAATAAATGCTGAATAAGTATTTATTGTTTCTAGTTCATGTTAACTAATGAACCTTACTGTAAAGTGTTAATAAAATAGAGTAAAGTAACATACCTTTCTCCCTTTCCAATATGGTTAGAAGAATATAAACATAAAGGATGATATCCAGGAGTGGTATTGTTATCATCCACAATGTTATCCATCCTCTCTGAACTGTGAATGAAAACATCACCTTCTGAATTCATCAACTTTCACAAGATCTGAACTCAAATCTGACGAGGATCCATTGAGAAGATTCAACATGAATTCAAAATGTATGACACTATTTATGTTCTTTATTAATGTTATTGATCTAATGGTGGACAATTCATCTGTGTGTTTTTGTGTTTTTGTTTTGTTTTTAACATTGAAATCTTAAGGAAAAATGCCATAACTTCATCTTCTCATGAGAGGATTCACTTTAAGACACTCACTATCAGATATGCCTCAATTCAGTTACACACACCGCTCACTCACAATATCAACAAACCAGTGGATCAAATCAAGTCCCAGATTTTTTTATTTTTTTTTATTTTAGACAGTCATTTCAATAAAAAATATATGTCTCAATACAGTCAATAGCAACTCCTGTTCATGCTGACTTTAAATCATGGTTTAGCAAATATTATGAATTAAGCGTATATTTTTATATAAGCAATGTATTATCATTTAGTATTCAAAATCAAACGCACGCATACATAATTATTCTGAGTTTTACTCTTTTCACATCTATACAAATACAATAATGTTTATCAGCTTGTACTTACAGTTGAATACTGCTTGTAGACGAGGTAAAAGTGGTATACAGAAAAACAGCAGTGCTGCAACCCATGGTACAACAACAAATGCTAAAATAGGAGAAAAAGTCTATTATTTTCCCATTGAAGAAACAAAATAAAACAATGTAATAAAGATACATGTGACTGTTTATAATATCTGAAACATTTAATCAACTGTATTTTTACACAAAAAGCAATGTAAACAGGTAGAATTTAAAACTACATGTTGTAAATAATTGTAATTATAAATGAATGAATCAGTATTCAGGCTTTACCTGGAGAGGGAATTTTAAATGAGGAGAACAACTGGATCAATTGAATAAGAATAATCCAAAACAAAAAAACTAAAAAAAAAAAAAAAAGAGAGAGAGCAAAGCATGAATGGAAGAATTCATTACAGGATCCCCTGAACTACAGGAACAACATTTATATTAATAGTTTGTATCTGTGCTCATTTATGTTGTTAGTTTGAGTAGAGCACCAATAATCGTACAGATTTTACATTTTGGATTATTCCTTTCTTCTTTTATGTTTTCATTCTTTATCAACACTCAGTAACACACAGTGTATATTAAACTATGCGTGTGACTATATAAACTGATGTATTGAGAGCACTTGATCAGCAATGTTTTTTCTAGAGCTAACAGTATTCTGCAACTCTAATAACTCATATTGGGGTAAATCAATAAGAATGTGCTCACATAGAGTTCGTATGATTGAGGAAGCCCGTCTTGGCCGCTCCTGACTGCATAGCCTTCTGAACTCCTCTAAAACACAAACATTAACACACAGTTAGATCTACAAGTTGAAAACTTGCCACTTATGTATTTGATTTTCATTTTTGGTAATTGTAGAATAAATGTAAAATAAATATATATGAACAAAACCATTGGTAATGAACTTATTAACCTAATAAATCAGTGCTTATACTTAGCCTGCCGCTTTAAAGTAAGGAATCAAATCATACAGGAGCTCTTACTTCCACTCAGGGTGAGACACCACAGCAGAACTCCTCCAAAGCATAATCCAGAAACTACACGATGTACCCAGACTGTATCATGTGCAGTCTTTCTCCAGACATCTGTAAAAATAACTAGACGAATAGATACAAATGAAAATGTCACACAAGATAAATGATGTCCTGAGCAAGAACAGAAGATATCTAAACATATGTGGAGAACAAACACACTTAAATGAGGCCATAACATCACATGATCATGAAGGCAACAGCACATGCAGTGAATTATTACCTATAAAAAGCTGTAATTGTATTATTATGAACAATCTTTCAAACACTCCACATTTTAAACCCGAGACGTTTCTGTTGTACTAAAGCAGCATATGCAGGACATGCTTGACAGATATCACTGAAATAGATGTTCAAAAAAGAAAGTAATCCTGGGATAGTAGACACTATCTGTACTTTAATCACTTTGAGGATTCAGGGTTGGACGATGGGATTTTATAAGAAGAGAGGGTGGAGTGAGATTTACCAAGTCTACTGAAGTTAGCAAAACAGGTCATATTTCATAAAGCTTTATTAATGTCAGAATAATGAGCATGATGTGAAACATTAGGATTTACTCACCTGAATTAACAACGACTGTGAAAACAGTAAATTCACTGGTTATTCTGAAAAACCGGATCCATGTTTTAATGTCGTCTGTAGACAGAAAGAGTTGAACAAATCAGATCAGATCATTATAGAATATTATTACACATCCGTTTCATTGCTCGTACTTTACATTTAAGCAGTTTTATAGGACAACTTGTTTTTTTTCACCAAACACTACAAATTTCTTTACACAATCAATCAATACATGCCAAGAATACAGTTTTATTAATTTGACAATTTAATGTATTTAACTGGAGATGTAGATTTATAAAGCCCCAAACAAAAACTAAACAACATATTTCATCATTTGTGCCGAGGAGCATTCAATGACTAAATGGATCATCTATGGGCACATAGATTTATTTTTAATGTGCATTATTGAATATATCTATTTATTTATTTTAAAGGCATATTATTGAATATATATTTATCTATTGATTCCTTAAGTTGTCGAATTGATAATCGATGTAAATTTTCGCTCTTTTATTCTGTTTATTCTATGTTTGTTGCGGTTTTGTTTATTGTGGTTCCCATGAGTGTAAAAAAAAATTCCCCCTTGGGGAAATAAAGGTTTCTTTCTTTCTTTCTTTCTTTCTTTCTTTCTTTCTTTCTTTCTTTCTTTCTTTCTTTCTTTCTTTCATGTTGCCATCAATTTGCATTTACTGATCCCCTTAACAATAATAATAATAATAACAACAACATCTTGAAATCCTAACATACCTTTGAGATAGTTTAAATAAGACAAAGCCCAAATCAACATGACAGGCCTCAGAATAAACAGAGCGCAGCAAGTGACGGTCTCATGGAGAAATCCTGGAACAGAATATATTGACGGTGTTAAAGGTGCAATGTGTAACAAAGTTGAGTATCTATTAACAGAAATGCAATATGACATCCATAACTATGTTTTCAGTGGTGTATAAAGAACTTACTTAATTAGCCGTAATGTTTTTATTACCTTAGAATGAGACATTAATAGCTCCATAACCGAGGGAATCCCCTTCTACGAAGGTCGCCATGTTGTGACGTCATATTCCTACCGTAGCCGAACGCGAACAAACAGCGCTACAGAACGCGTTTCATCACTACCTTGAAAGAGAAGTAGCGGAAAGCTGGAAGCTAGCCTTACACTCCGTGAGTAGTGACTTTTCCCTTGTGAGTGGTGTAAAATATGTAGTTGGGATTGTTTCATGTAACTTAGTTCTCCCTCGCTGTGTTATGGGTTTGTTATGTTGGGGATAGATGTGCTGTTACGTTCGTGAGACAGCTGATGATTATGTCATTGACCGTAAAACAGTACGTTACAGGAATCACTAACCCGTCGATAGAGACTTTTACTAAAGTCTTTTATCACTAAAGTCGATCGCGAAGAATTTTAAAAATCAGAGAAAAAAAGCCTATTGTGTGTAGTAAATAGTATCTATGGGATGCGGAGATGACATGATTGTAACAGCGCGCGCACTTCCGACCTTTGGACTCATGCGGACGCGTCCCAGCTCAGCCACAGTAACAGCTCATATTAGCCAGCTAAACTATTACTACCCTGTTAGAAAAATATATAGCTGCTCCCTCGCTGTATTATGGGTTTGCTACAGTATGTGGGGAAAAATGTGCTGCTGGTTACGTTTGTGAGACAATCAGCTGATTATTATTTTATTAAATTATATATTAAAACCCTTGATCCTCACCTGACTATGGCTTTGTAAACAGACAGTATTCATGATGTGGTTTATAATGGACTGTGGTACAGAAACAGTGACAATGTTACACACTCTTGGCTTACTCTGGCTATTCTCTGCTGTCTCAGCCGACGAGATGTTTGTCCCGTTTTAGCAACCGTAGCTTCTTCGAAAGGGAGGGGTGAGCAGTGGGCTGAGCCCTTAGTGCAAACCTGGTGCAAACTCGCAACCGAACCACTAGATGTCGCTAAAAGTCACACATTGCTCCTTTAAACAATATCAATCAAATAAAACATTTTAAGTCCATCACAACAAAATTACAATACAATCTGCCACATGCTCAACTCACCTTCAGTGAGAGCCCAGAGGACGAAGGCGGAAAACATGCAGACATTTGGACAAAAGACCAGAGAAAGATGAAGATTCCAGATTGTTCTGCTGTTTTCTGGAGAGAAGATGCAGAATAAACACAGTTAAACGAGTGAAACACTTACAGTCACACAATCACAAGAAACAAAAGGAATCACACCTGTGTTTTTAACTCTGCAGTAGATCAGACAACAGAGCAGAAGCACAGCTCCAAATCCAGCAACGACACAGAAAAACAACACAGTTATGTGCCGAGAAGAGAAACCTGTGAGACACAGACATCCGTCATTATGTATAACTGCACTGAATCAATTATAATTTATATAATTATGAATAATTTGCAATTAAAGTATTTTAAGGAATTCCCTTTAGCAAGCACTTATTTACATGAAGGGCCAGAATTAACCCTCTTTTGTGTTAAAAACTACTGTCAGGATTGTACACATAAATAAATGGACAATTTTTATAATGTAGGCCAAAAATGAGCTTCCCCTCCTTGAAAGACCAGCAGCCGCCACTGGTCAGGATTTACTAGACATGCAGTAAACATTTGTGGAGATTACCTCCAGGAAAACATGTTGATTTCCCTGAAATGTGCATTTTAATAAGTTTGAAGGCCAAAAAACTGGTTACCAATAGATGTAAAAGCATGTCCGTGGGCAGTAGCATAAATCAAGCAGATTACAGACTCTTAAACATGAGAATAAGGTTAAAAGCTGCAATGAATGATCAACACTACCAACTGGAAGAGGCTAGATTATGTTTACTGTTATTGATACTTGTAAAATATTACATTCTGGGAACATCTCTCTTTCAAACAGATTTGTGTTCGAGGGGCCTGATGTTTAAACGGTGTAGGTGACCATTGAAATTATGTGTACACTGTAGAACATTGTCCCGTAAATTAATGGAAAATACTGGCAATACTGTTGCGGGTAATTTACTGTTAATTGTAACTTACTGTAATTAATTAAAATGACTGTTTTTTACTGTAATTAACACTAAATTTAAACTCAAGTTAACTCATTTCATTTACAGAAATCGACTGCCTTAAAGGGATTCTCCACTTATTTTAGAAATAGGCTCATTTTACCACTCCCCCAGAGTTAAACAGTCGAGTTTTACCGTTTTCGAATCTATTCAGCCGATTTTCTGATATTTAGAAGAATATCAGTAACCAGACAGTTTCTGGTCTCATTGACTTCCATAGTAGGAAAAAAATATATACTATGGGAGTCAATGAGACCAGAAACTGTCTGCCACGTAATGATCAGGATGCAAGTGCAAGTAACAAACATAGATTTATTAAACACAAACAGATATCCAGAATGAAAAGAAACCAAGACATGCCAAAGAATCGGGTAACAATGATCCGACAGTTAACGACCCAACAGGAAATGCTTAAATAGACAGAACTAACGACTAACAGATGTAACAATGATCATGAGGTAATAATCAGGTAATCAGTCCAGGTGATTACAATAAGTGCAAACACACACACACATGAATAGATCATGGTTAACCAACCATGACACTGTCTGGTTACTGATATTCTTCTAAATATCAGAAAATCGGCTGAATAGATTCAAAAACGGTAAAACTCAACTGAGTTGTAAAATTAGCCTATTTCCAAAAAAGTGGAGAATCCCTTTAAACGTGACAGATTAGGACAGTTAATGTTGTGTTTTATGGTTATGTGGCATTGTAATCGTCTCTGTATATCATTAAGTGCCTAAATCAACCCTTCTCTTACTTTTTAAATCACTTTCTTGTTTGGATTTTGTCTGATGATTAAATTATCCCCTATGCCGTCCTCTTTACTGTTACTGATTTTTGGGCTCTTTAGCTACGCTAGATAACCGTTTACGTCCGGGCTGTCGTTGCCGTTCTATCAGCAGCTGTTGCTTAAAGTCCCTAGTAGTGTTGCAGACTGGACGGGGCGGAGTTACGTGATTACACACGCGGTTATTATGTTTTAAGGGGAAAGTACATTAACACACAGTGCACGGAAATATTAATAGGATTCATAAACCGAAATAACCTACATGGGAAAATTACGTCGGTTATAGGGACTGAATTTCGGTTTTCGATTATTTTTCGATTAATCATCCAGCCCTAGTGTTTCACTCTCAGTGTGGCTGCAAGTCAGTTGTAGTTCTTGTGTTTCTCTTTTTTCTGTACGTGTCCTTCAGTGATTCTGCTTGTTAACAGCAGGTGTTCATCATGTCTGAATTCACTCACTTCTTTTCATTCACTCTAAGTGGACTATATTGTGAACTAATGTACTGAATAGTGACTGAGGGTATAGGGTGTGATTTGGAACACAGCCTCTGAGAGTCGACTTTGAGCGCTGTTGATTCACAGTATATTCATGGCTATTTTGTTAAAAACAAAATTACCCAGAATGCATTGTTTTCTAAGGTATATTATAGTTTTAATGGTATGATACTGTCAGAATTTGGCCATTCTGTTACAGAAAGGTTTAATACATTTGTTGTTACTACAATGATTTTGTAAATGTTGATCAGCAACCAAATATTGATGTGGAAGTTACTGTCATTTGTCTTGGTGTGACTTTTCACTTTTTGCAGACAATATAAAGGCAGATTACAGTAACTTCAAAATAAGTAAGTAAGTAAGTAAGTAAGTAAAAGTTAATTTATATAGCTCCTTTCACAGGTATAGGGCCACAAAGTGCTTCACAACAAAAACAATTAATATCATAAAATACACACAATAAAAGCATAGACAGTACATGATCATATCAACCCACGAGTATTGAATGCCTGAACAAATAAATGTGACTTTAGTGTGCATTTGAAGGCATCAACAGAATCAGAGGAGCCCATAGACGGTGGAAGGTTTCCACCATTTCCCATCAGGTCACTAATATGGGGGGGGGGTATCATTTAGTAAATATGGTATCATTTCTTGAAACCATATTTCTAAGTTTTGAGATTTTCCTTGATTAAAAGAAGCAGTTTCTCGTCAGCTGCTTGCAGTGCTGCACAAACGACATGTCTTTGTCCAGGATAACTCCCAAATTTCTAAGACTTGGCTTAGCAGACTGGCCTAAATCACCCAAGTATTGTTTAATCCCATGGGATTGCATCCTCAGGGGCAATGATCAATGTTTCTGCATTTTTTTATCTGCATTTAGCTGCAGGGAGTTTTCACTTAGCCATTTTTTAATTTCCACGAGACAAAGAAGCAAGGAGTTTAACTTACAGATCTCTGACGGCTTGAAGCAGCAGTAAAGTTGGATATCATGCAACTACACACGTTGTTTCATCCCGGTTCGAAATAATGAGCTGTGTTTAGTGCAGATTAAATGGTCATTCGATTTTAATACTCTTTTTTCAGAGTACTTTTGACTGATTTTAATTATGCATTGATAAATATAGAAAGTTTAAACAAATTTGGAAAAAAGTTTTTTATAAAATTCTGACCTACCCCAGACAGCAAACTGACATTGAATCAACGTGGAAACGACGTCTCTCATGACATTGAAACAACGTTGATTTGCTCATCGAATTAACGTTGAACCAACGTCAGACGCGGCATTCTTCAAAGCTAAATGAAAATCGAAAATTGGTTTGCTTTCATAACGTTGAAACAACGTTGATTTCAAGTTGATTTTCCGTTAGTTTTGAAAGAATGACGCGTCTGACGTTGGTTCAACGTTAATTCGATGAGCAAAACAATGTCAGATCAACGTTGTTTCGATGTCATATTTCCACGTTGATTCAATGTCAGTTTGCTATCTGGGACACTACCTGTAAGTAAACTGAACTAATTGGTTTTTACAGTGCAGTAGACAGCGAGAGGTTAACCATTTTGGTTACACAAGGGCCAAACACTTTTTTGAATAATCTGAAAGGAATGACGTCCGATGAACAGGAAGATGGCTTCATCCTGGTCACCAATTCAGAATGATCAGAAATCGTCACAGTCCTAAAAGTGGACCACATGCTTGAGACTGGCTTAAAAACAGCAGTGGTACCACACGAACGAGACGGGATTTTATGTTTAATAATTGTAATTTTATTTGTGAAAAATCCCAAAAATGCATTGCTGTCAGCTTCACAAAAAACAGGGATAACCAGAGCAGCAGGGCAAACAAGTGTATTGATTGTATCAAAGAGCACTTTAGGATTTTTTTTATTTAATGTTACTAGTTGACGAATATAGTCAGATCTGGCTTTTCCAACCGTCACATTATAGGACAACACAAGTTCTCTGAGATAGAGCCTGTGTACCTCAAGACTAGTGGATTTCCACAGGCGTTCAGTCTTTCGACACAGTCTTTTAAATTTTAAAATCTCTTCGTTAATCCAAGGCCACATTTTTTCCGGAGTAGGCAAGTTTGAATTAACAGGGGCCACTTGATCCAGAATTTTTTCACAGTGACTGTTTAAACACTGAACGAAATCATCCACGTCAGGGCAATCCATAACTAGAGCAGGATCAAACAAATCAGAAAAAGTATGATATCTGCAGTATTTGCCGTGATAACACGTCTCTTAGACCTAACTACTGGAAGCTTTGGGTCAGAACTGAAGTGAAGATCAAACAGAACAATATTATGGTCGCTCGTAGACATCATTTACAGATACATATCTAGGCCAAGTGTAAAATAGTGTTCAAAAGTCAAGTTTGAGCTCAAGATTTTTTTTTTTTATTTAAAGGAGCTGTATGTAAGACATTGATTTCAAATAATCATAAAATGGCCCTGATAGGTCACTAGACATTAAGAAATCATGTTCATTTCAAATACTTATATCACCGACAACAGCAGTCCGGCCAGGATATTGTCATTTAAAAAGTGAAGTTGCAGCCCTTGACTGATGCTGATGATGTCATGATGTTGTGTTTTGTTCTGATGCGCCACCCTCCACCGATCTACCAATCACGGAGACAGTAGAGTTGCAGCATTCGGGTTGCCAGCTCTTCTCTAGTTACCACAGCTGCAGCTACAAACGTGTCGGAAAAAACATTCAAAAGTGTCGGGAGGGGATACACCGCTCTACAGTAATTTGAAAGTTATTGCAGTACCAGTTTTGGCCACAGTCTTACATACTGCTCCTTTAAATAATTATATATATAAAAAAAAAACACTTTTAGAAAGATTTCAGGTTCCCTACCTAATTTATTTGGCTGGACAACTACAAATCCTTAAAGTAATTTTTCTCAGATCCACACTCTAGTGACTTTTGCCTTCGCATAGGGCAGAGATGTAACAAGGATACTGTAAAATAAAGTGTTACCACATAAAGTATAATCTCTTCAGATTTCAAATTCAGTAGAAATATCTAAACATTCTAAAATATGTTTTTATAGGCGAAACTGCATAAATTAGTTATGTTTAAAACAATAAAAGAAACATTTGGCAGAAATTAATGAAAACACCTCTTCTCTGAAAATCATTTTATAGATGAAAAGTTTTCCAATTTGTATGCCAGAACCTGCCTAAAATCCCCTTTAAAAATCCTAATCAGCGAAAAATTCTGTGTGCATGCATCTCCACCTCGTCATCTCCCCAAAATAACCAAAATATGAAGCTTACCATGCCTAGTTTTACAGTGAATGCCACAGAACTGTACACTCCTATTGAAGATATTGATGGCATCGCTCATGCCATAATTTACCCTTTTAAATTAAATCTGGCCCCAAATGTATAAAAATTTGATACTTTGCGCACCAAGTGTAAATAGCTGAAGTACAATCTTGTTTACACAATAGCCTCTAAGGAAGGATGGCTAGTGTTAACAGACTGCATTATTTATTTTGCCGTGTTTTGTCGACTCACCCAGTTGCTCCAGTACCACAGTTGTATTGGCTGAAAGTCCTCCAGCAAACACTTGACAGATGTAAACGCCTTTGTCCTCAGTTCTGACACTCTTCAGTCTGAGAGAGAAGTTTCCTTTGGGGATTTCATCAGTGAAGAACTCAACTCTGTCTCTGTATTGCAAATCTGATGAACCTGGAAAAGTCTCATTGTTCTGGTAAAGCAGAACCAGAATATCTTCATCTTCATCTGTTTTCCTCCATGAAACCTTTTTAATGTGTTTAGGTTTGATGTGAGAGTCAACAGAGCAGTTCAGAGTGACGTCCTCCCCCACAGATGCAGATATTGAACGACTCGATCCTGATACCAGCAAGTACTCTAAAGGAAAGTTATGTTACAGAATAAAATATTACATGCAGTCTTGTTTTTGTTTTAAAGGGTCATGAAACCCCCCTCTTTCAGCTCAAGTCTAGCTCACAATCTTTTAGAAAAATGCAACTTAAATGGGCGTGGATAGCTGTGAGAAAAAGGGTGATATGGCCATCACTGTCAATGTCCCATGCATATCGACTGTCACTAAAAAGCAGTGGTAAAACGTTTGGCAAAGTTAAAGTCTTAGGACAATAATAAAGTGTCAGTGTATTTCTAAAGTAACCGAATGCCCTGCTACATATATTTGCCTACAGTAATCATAATTATATTTAAAACATATTGATGAAGGCTACATGTATAATTATAATGTAATTATAAAATATATAGTGGTTTATATAGACACTATAAATGCATTTGAAAATGATTAATTTTCCGCTAAAAAAAATCGTTCCATGCATAGCCTAGATCTACGTGTCCCCTAACCCTCATAATATGGCTCTCTGCGGAGGTGAATGGCTTCTCATTTTAGACACACACACACACACACACCTCTGAAGGGATAGAAAAGTCCTCGGGATCATTTCACATGTATAATAGGGATGATGATGTGATGTGAAGTACCATTCATTCACATTAATAATAATTGCATGACAATTTGTAATATTCTTCTTATTATTATTATTATTATTATTATTATGATTTGTATTAAAGGAATAATAATTTACTTTGAAATAAATTTTTGATATGTTTTATCGTACCTCAAGGGCATCCAAGATGTAGGTGTCTTTGTTTCCACAGTATTTTCAATTTTGATATTTTTGGGTCAAACCGTTCTTGTCTGTCAGTCATATAATGGAGGTCTATGGTCACCACCTCAAAGAGCATGCACAGAGAAGTCCAGATTAAACATGATTTAATGACTCGTAAATGTAAGTACACATTGATGGTCTAAGACACGAAACGAGCGGTTTGTGAGAGAAAACGAACAGTATTTATATCGTTTTTACCTCTTGTAATCACAGCCACGTCCAAGTTATAATAATAATAATAATTCATTACATTTATATAGCGCCTTTCTGGACACTCAAAGCGCTTCACATAGAGAGGGGAAATGTCTTCAACCACCACCAGTGTGCAGCATCCACCTGGATGATGCGACGGCAGCCATATTGCGCCAGAACGCTCACCACACACCAGCTTACTGGTGGAGAGGAGACAGTGATGAAGCCAATTGGTGTATATGGGGATGATTAGGAGGCCATGATGGACAGAGGCTACTGGGCAAATTTGGCCAGGATGCCGGGGTTACACCCCTACTCTTTCGAAAGACATCCTGGGATTTTTAATGACCACAGAGTGTCAGGACCTCGGTTTAACGTCTCATCCGAAGGACGGTGCTCTCGCGCGTGTACGTCACTCATTGTTTACACGGAGATTTCTGAAGTTTTACCTTTCACTGTGAAGATCTAAACATATTTAGATATGCAGGAAATCGCAATGGATTACGATTTCGATATATCTAAATATGTTTAGTGAAAGGTTAAACTCCCGAAATCTCTGTGTAAACAATGAGTGACGTACACGCGCGAGAGATCACTTCCGGCGTTGGACATGGAATGTTGGACACGGTTCAGTTGAACATTGGATGACTGATTCAGATCAGTTGGACATGGCTGCTAACAAGAGGTAAAACGATATAAATACTGTTGGTTTTCTCACACAAACCGCTCGTTTCGTGTCTTAGGCCATCAATGTGTACTTACATTTACGAGTCATTAAATCATGTTTAATTTGGACTTCTCTGTGCATGCTCTTTGAGGTGGTGACCATAGACCTCCATTATATGACTGACAGACAAGAACGGTTTGACCTAAAAATATCAAAATTGAAAATACTGTGGAAACAAAGACACCTACATCTTGGATGCCCTTGAGGTACGATAAAACATATCAAAAATTAATTTCAAAGTGAACTATCCCTTTAATGACGGTTATTGTTATTTAGAAGAAGAATGTCGTTATGATTATTTGTATTATTATTATTATCATTTAAAAGATGAAGAATGTATTTTTTATTATTTTGTCAGTTATGAATTATTTTTTGGTCATTTGTCTCTTCATTACTGAACCCAGTCCGTGCGCACCTGCCGGGGATAACCCTGAAACGTCAGGGTAAAGCGCACAGGCTCGGAACTGAAGGAATTGTCAGTGCGTTTTGTGGTGTTAGGAATTTTTCTGCGCATTTCCTCACTAACTCAAAACGTGCGTAAACCACCTCCTGAGCTGGTGTAGGATTTGAGCGTGCCGTACGCCAACGTCCATATTGATAAATCTCACAGTCACTGTGGTTTTGGGTATACGCCAGGTGTACACTGGAAATGTGGTGTACGCACTTTTGATAAATGAGGGCCAATGTGCTTATGAATGTCTACGTACGAAGGATCCCACGGCACGCATATTCTCTTTGTACATCCCAATTAACATAAAATTGAAAGCACATGCACAACGCCCCACCCAGTCTCCTCCCTCAATTAATTTAAATATGGTAATTAGTCCAATATAGCAAAAGAAACCTGCAAGAACATGGCTAAAGCCAGCAAGAAACGAAATTTCACTGAAAATGTCTTCTATGTGAATATATGTGAAAGTGTAATATATTCCTGTGATCAAAGCTGAATTTATCATCATTACTCCAGTCTTCAGTGTCACATGATCCTTCAGAAATCACACTAATATGATGATTTGATGATCAAGAAACATTTATGATTATTATCAGTGTTGAAAACAGCTGTCTTCTGCTTCATATTTTCATGGAAACCATGATAGCATTTTCAGAATTTTTTAATGAATAAAAACTTAAATCAAACACATATAGAAATTTTATAATCTTTTGTAACATTATAAATGCATTTACTGGCACTTTTAAACAAATTCAATGTGTCCATGCTGAATAAAAATATTACTTTATTATTTTTTTACCTTTACTGACCGAATTAATTAAGTTTATTGTTTATTCCTAGTTAAGCCAACGCTGCCATTGCTAGACAGGTTACACATGTTATGTTCTTACTTAACTGCATAATAGAATATTTTAAGAAGACTAGTGTGACATAATTTGTAACTGATAAATTATTTGACATATAATTAAGCAATATCTGACAGCTGGTGGTGCGATAGAACAATTCGTAGAGTAATGTTTGCCACTTCACTTTATTGCCTCTAGGAGTCGCCAACGGACAAAAATCAAGGCAAATGTACGTACGCCAGACATGAAGTTAACTCGGAGGAACGCACATTCTTACGTTAATTTCACTAGTACATCTGGCCGTGAACGCGAAATCTGACGTACGCAGTGTTGATATAGGCTAAGGCCCCATGGTGATGTGGACACGACGAAGATTTAAACCCGGAAGACGAAAAAAGCGGAAAAAAACTAAAATTTAACCATTTTAACCCTATTATTAAATGTAACAGATGCTAACATTGTGTTTAATGGTGTTCAACAACACACATACATCTGTTAAAATCGCAGAAAATTTGGTTTGGTGTTTCATGACCCTTTAAACAAATTTCAAGTAGGGTGGAAATGATTCATACTCACCAACGTATTTTATTTCAACTAAGGTTTTGTCAGCAAACTGCTGACTGTAAACTTTACATCTGTAAATGCCTTTGTCTTCTGTTCTCAGATTGTCCAGACGGAGGGAGAAGTTTCCATGTTGAATCTGATCAGTAAAGAAATGAGCTCTGTCCTGATAATCCTGCTGCTGGGCCTCTGGTCGACTCTCTCCATATTGAAACAAATGAACCAGAGTCTCTGAGTCTGTTCTTCTCCACTCCACCTCCAGACCCTTCATTGGTAAAGGTTTATCAGTATAACAGGGCAAAACCACTGAAGATCCTAGAAGAGCAACCAGAGGAGCAGATGGACCTCGCAAAGTGAAGCCTATAGAAAAATAACAGAGAAACTGATAAGCTTTAATTAAGAAAAACTTGAAGGCTATTTTCGCGTTTCAACGTAAAGCACGTACCATCAGCGACTACCAGGAGTATTGCTACTACAACAAACGTAATGTTCATGGTTTACACAAAAAAGAGAACTATAATAAAAACATAATTTTATCATGAATTTAAGAGTTTTTGTCCGCAGTCTTTCACTTTCGAATCATCGTCTCAACTTCCGCTTGCAGTTTACTTTCGCTTTCTTAAACTATGCGCGCGACGCGTCAGACCTGCTCTAATCCAAAAACAAGCCTCACTTCTGTTGGCTCTTTAGCGGTTAATGTGAGATACATAGACAGTAAAAGAAATGGACACAGCGTCCAGATTGATTTCAACGGAGAAAACTGAAGCCCGATTACTGTCTATGCTGCACTTCGCGCAGGCTTGACGACAGTCTTCTTCTTCTTCTTCTTCTTCTTCTTCTTCTTCGTTTTATGGCACATTGCAACCATAACTTTAAAGGTGCATACCGCCACCTACTGTATCAGAGTATGTAACACGGGCTATTCGTTGAGACTACTTTGTATTAAAAAAACAAAACAAAAAAACAACTATATCCTCTTATATATTCCTATGTTTTTCAGAAATAGTATAACTGCTTTCTGTGTATCCTTTACCCCATCTCCTGTTGTGCCTAATAAACCTTTAAGGTTCCACTTTCTTCCTGCCTTACTCTTTTGTTTTAGCCTTATCCTGCTATCATCTCTATGTTTCTTACAATGCATTAATACATGTTCTACATCTTCCTTTGATCTACATTCCAAACATTTATCTGATAAAGTTTTGCCCATTAAAAACAATGTTTTATTTAACCCTGTATGGTCAAATCTCAGCCTGGTTAAGACGCTCTCCTCTCTTCTGTTACTTCTATTCACCCC